CCACTCCACATAGTTGAGAGGAGAGTCGGGTCGAGGGACAAAACGAGTCGCGCTGAGTCAACCGCGTCGTGACGAAGGTGTCTACCCGTTCGTTGTCAGTCTATTTCTTCTGTCCGTCATCTCCATTTTCACACGTGATCTCGTCAGACAATTGGCCGTGTAATGGCAGGAATCCCTCGACGCGAAGTTTCAAACGAGTTTCGAGTCTTGACTCGCGGGAAATTCTCGGTCCACGTGACCCGTGCGAGGTGCCATCCGAGTTTTTTCTTTTTTACCTCGAACTCGAAATATCCCTGTCGCGTTGATATCGGTATTCCGCAATCGGGATATCTGACATTCAGCATCAGGTAAATGACAGAGGTGGTTTCACGACGAGAACATTGTTGTAAATTGCAGCAGACCTGTCACGAGGAATCGTCATCACCGCTGATTCGCAGGAATGTTTCTCTACGTTCAATCGAGGCCTCCTGCGTCTCTCGAAATCTTGCAGGAAATTAATTTTCGTTACCTCGAGTATTTTTGCCACCGGTGGAGGGAAAGTTGCGTCAGCATACAGCCAGTAACTTTTGTTCGTGTCGTATAAATTTCTATATACCGTTGTATAGGCGTGTCTGGCGTGGTAGGTCGGACTTATATGGTATAACGCAGTAAAGTATAGTTTAGTCGCGAGATAACGTGGTTATATATTATGGTTTCAATCGATAGTAGGATTGATATCTTGATGACATTTTTGATGTTGACAGTTGGGAAATTTTCGCTTTTTGGTTGAAAGTTTTTGATATAGCCAATTTTGTGAAACAATATTGAATTTTTTATATATAATATTTTGACAAGTAATTTTTGTTAATCAAAAATTTAGTTATTCTATTCACGATTCTAGTCACAAATTACAGAAAATATCTCCATAGATGTAAATTTTTTAGGTTAGCATATAAAGTAAGATACGTCGATATTGTAGTTATAGGACTTATCGATATACAGTAAATTTCGTAAATACATAATATAATAAAAAAAAAATTTATAAATTCATAATCTTTTAAATACTAAACAATTAAAAAAAAAAAATTTCCCGCGCATTTCCACTTCAGTTAACCGTCCACCTAATTCCAAGCTGTGAAATATGCCACCTTAGTGTTCACGCCGAACGAATGACGCGTCGAGTAGTAATCGAAACAGGGAATTCATCGAAGGATACACGTTGGCGGGTGTAAGTAACGTGGGTAGCCAGGCAAAACCAACGATTAATCCCAACGTTGGCAGAATAACCTCGCCGCGTAAATTACGCGGCACTTTTTATCGCGTTTCAACGTAAACTTGGCGTATACAAATTACACGGAGCTCCTCACGGTTTTTGCGCATGCTCGCCTCTCAGGAAATCGCGTGCGTACGTTTTACGTGCGCCGTATACCGGCTGGACTTCCCTTCGTTCAGGTTACGCGCAGTTTTCTCTAGCCGAAGCATGCGATCAGGGAACGCATCTAAAATCCACCGCGCTCGTGGCCTCTTCGCCTCCTCCTCGAGCGTAATTTCTGCTCGACGAACAGACGAATGAATACGCGTCGATGTTTTCTTGCTTCGTGTCCCAACCGTTTGCGTGGAATCGCTCCGTGCTCGATTTATATCCGTAATTTCTATGTTTGTCGATCGCGTATAAGTCGCACGCGCTTTTTACCGGCGACACGTATACGCGGCGCGCATATCAACGCGTTGTCCGAGGCGCACGTTAGGCACATTACGCGTAACGCGAACTTCTCGCGCATTGGAAAAGTTGTTTACTTTAAACGAGTCCATCAAATGTTGGTTACTATCATTTGGGTGGATTGATTTGTCAAGATAGTAAAGTTATAGAGGATTATTTGTTGGTTAGAATTAGGATCGTTGATTAATTAAGAGGATAGAAGAATTTTAGGAATTTAAATAAAAACAAATTTTCAATTGTTTATTAGAAATTTAATGAATTGAGATAGAGAAGATAGTAATGAAATTATGAAGCTAGAAAATGAAAAATTAGAACTATCAGTAAATTAAGAAATTAGAATTCAAAGAATATGAAATTAATGAAAGATTAGTTAGTTAGATTCGAAATTGGAAATTAGGTAAAGATTAGAAAATCGGCAGATAGTTAACTAGAAATGAAAATAGCAATTAAAAAAAATTTCTATTTTCGATTTTTTTTTTGCGATTTTTAAAACGCAATATTAAATCTTACTTTATGTCGTCAGAATTATTAAAAAATGAATGATCAAATGGTAAAACTTAGATCATGAAGAAATTAAAATTGAATGAATCATTCGTCTCTTAATATTATCTACCGGTTTCAGAATATTTAATAGTTTTATTAGTTACATTCACTGAAGATTGACGTAATAATACGTGCATTATGAAAGCTATCCGACTAAGTTGCTCAAATAATTTGAAAGTCATCCAATCGAATTACTTTATGACTCGATGTCAATCAGGTATCCAATATCTTAAAAGCTCTAACACATTATATAAGTTAGATATTCAGTAACCATTCGGTAAAATATCTTATCTATGCATCGATGCTTCCTTTTTTTTGACATACTCAATTGAAAAGAATATTCTTTCAATTGTCTTTACATAAACACATTTTATTCTTTAAAATCATAACTTTGTATCGCATACACAAAGTTATAAGTATCCTCATTGATAATATTTTCAGTTTCAATCAACCATTCATACATACATTACATTTAGCATTTCATGAAAAAATAAATTAAACAAATATTATTCGAATCATACGTTCCTCGTCAATCTTCCTTGAATATGTATCTGTTCTATTCACCGATACATTACCTTTGATGGATTTGCGTTCCCAGAGGGTTGAACATCTCGTCAGATGTACTGCATATGCACCCCTTATTCATCAACCTGTGTACATAAAAATTACTTAGAATAGGTTCGAGTAACAAAGCGAAAAGGAATAAAAACGAAACAGCAGGTCGCGTCACATAAAGAAAAAGCATCTCATTTTGAATCTTCCACGATGAGAACGTCGTTTCATAGTGTTGAATTTCATCGGTTTCTTCAAGACAGATCCAATGAAAATAGGGGTATATTGTCGGATAGATGGGTATGAGATATCGGGATAAAAAACGAAAAAAGTCTACGATATAGATCGAAAAATAAGGAAAAAACTAAGCGTTGACTAATGTTTAAATCAAAAGAGAAGATGACTTGTTTCGCGCCATTTTATTTGCTTCCTCGAGAACGAATCTCATATGCAGAGAGAAAATAGTGAGAGAAAGAGAAAAAGAGAAAAGAGAGACTAGCCTTTGATCGATACACGCTCGAACCACGGTTCTCGCCCCTTGACGACGTGCTTTTTTGCATTCGAAGTGGCCTACAGCTGGAGGCACAGCTGATGGGATATACCCATGAGTCTGGGGGTTGAGCACATTTCCCACCCTTCTTCCAGGTCAGGGGATAGTTTCGTCGATGTTCGGTTGTAATCGATTTATCCCGGCTTTGCGACGATCGTATCCTAACCTAACATTGTACATGCTGAAAAAAAAATATTGAAATTCAGAAAGATAATGTAATTAATTGATGCAATTAGAATATTAATATGATTTCGTTTTGCGAAAAAATGATATTCTTTTTTATAAAATTTTGTTCAAAATATGATTAGAAATGTATCTAGTTTGTCATTCTTTTTTTGTACAATAATTCTTGGAAAATTTATATTTTTAACATACTTATTTAACTTCCTTTATATGTATGATGCACGTATATATTAAAATTGTTTGAAATTAATATTTGCTTGAATTCTCATGATATTTTGAAAAATATTTCCAGTAACGAAGTAACTACTAAATCATTCCGCAAACACGAAACATGTGTATTTGTCGGTCAATAAATACTTCTTGACAAGTTAAATACACATACAATCATCACTGTCCTTAGTTTCGTATTTCAATGAAAACATATACAAGGTAATCTACTCAACGTCGTCTCGATTTGTTCGATTCGTGAACAAAAGTATCGAACACGATTGTGCGCAGTTATATTCGTGACAAACAACGGAGAAGATAGGTGGCGGAACGAGCAAAAGCACAGGAGAAAATCTAATATGGCCGTTGGGCGCGTAATGAAGCTACCTGTTTTCTCGAAGACAGAGAAAGGGAAAGAGACGGAGAAGCACATGTCTCCGCTCGTCCGGTTGAGAAAGGTTTGAGGTAGGTCGATCGAGGAATGACTCACCCTTCGGTTTCTCTCGAGAACGATCGAGAGAGCCACTCGTTGGACGAAGTGGCTGACTTCCACGGTGGGCAGCACGTCCCATTATATTCGCTCATTAATATCGTGACATCCAATATCGTGTAATTATAACTGAACCGTGCTGTCCGCGTAAGTCTCGTAGACCATATACATGACACTTACCCATGAACCAATAATGAATCATCGGCCATGGGTTAAGCGTGCCTCGTTATTTTGCAACATTCTTCCATATTGGTTTCAGCTTTAACTGTTGTCCAGCGTAGTACGATAATTGGCCGCCAACAATGGTGCGCACTGCGGTCGAGAAGCGAGAAAACCAATTTGACCATGAGAAGCCATTTTGTGTAAAGTTTACGAAAAGGAATATTCAAGTTTTATTTCGTATTGTTCGAGCTATAAGTGTCCTTTGATGGCGATGAACATAGATATTCATAAGTGTTATAAACAGACTAAACGATTGTAAAGATGGATTGTTTGTATCTTTTCGATATAACGCATTAAATAATGATCGAATCCTATTTTGACGAAAAACGTATTCAAGATAGAGAAATCAATGTGAATTTTTCGTGTAAAGTGTAGTGATAAATAGAAAGAAAGAATAATACGATTTTTCTAAGTGATTTTTATTGGAATGTGGTTTCCATATCGTCTTTATTACTCGTGCATATCTACGAATCCCTTCGTCGTCGAATAAATACCGCGTCCTTCATCGTAACATGACCGAGAGCTTGGCCATTTCTTTCGTACTCTTTCCGACGACACGTAACACGTTCCCGCGGTCTAGAAAATCAACGGTCTTTCGTAATCTGATTTTTCTATCGCGAGACTTGAGACGGCGCACAATGTATCCTACAATATGTGTATATGTGTGCTCAGAATATTCTCTATGGAACACGAAACACACACCAATCGTCGCGTATCGGGCCGGATAGCGGACGTATCGAGTAGAGTGAAGAGAGAAAGAGAATAAAGGAGAAAGAAGCATTGGGCATAGAGAAAGAGAAAGAGTGGAAGAGAAAGATAAGCTGAACGTGTGCGGATGGAAAGAAAGGGAGAAGAAAGAAAGACTGGTGACGGAACAGAAACAGAAAGAGAGAGAGAGAGAGAGAGAGAGAGAGAGAGAGAGAGAGAGAAAGAGAGAAAGAAAAAGAAAGAGAAAGAAGAAAGAGTAGGAGGAGAATGAACGCAGTTGGGCGGCCGTGTCAGTGGAGTTCAATCTTAATATAGTGTGACCCCCACTGCCATTCGAGACACTGTCGGATGCAACTGCAGTTGCAACGCTTGTGCTAGAGAAAGAGAAAAAGAGTCGGTAGGCGAAGAAAGAGGGAAACGTGACAGAAAGAGAGACATTAGCGGTGGGAGGGTAGGAGAGAAAGCGAGAAAGAGAGGCCACAGTGAACGGGTGCGTGCATTGCACCTTATTCCCCTGTCCGACGAGTGTGCTTCGCTCGGTTATTTCAGAGACATCGGCCCCGAGAATGTATATATATGTTATATTCACACATGTGGATACCATGTATATGTATATATAGATACATCTATAGATCGTGTACGGATACATATGAAGTGAATAGATACGAACGTAAGTGCGTGTGCGCGAATCACACATACGCAGTGAAGCGACGCGTGCATACGCGCGAGATTGTTCGGACGAGTGTCATCGATCTATTTCGAGAAGAGGTTGGAATTTCTGGCCTTCGAGAGAGGTCAGAGAGGGAGATAAAGGAAAACGTATAAGAGACAGAGAAAGAAAGGCGAAAGGAAAGACAGGAAAATAGAAGGAAGAATGTGCACATGCACCTGTACAATGCATCCGCACGACTCGGTGGTCGGCGTACGAGTGACCACGTCTCGTTTCTACCTAGCTCGCGAGCCAATGCTCACTTTCAAAGGGCTTCTATGATTGGTGCTGCGTCCGGCCAATCGGTGACTGGTTTTCCTGGAAGCTAGTGAGTATCACCATGACCGTACATTCGAACACGTTGCACGTCGATCACGATGAAACTTCGTACATTTGTTTCTTCAATTCAAAATTTTTCTAATTTATTTATATTTATATATAACCGCGTTTTTAATCTATATTGTTAATTTTTCAAAATAATCTGCGACTTTAATTCTATTTTTGTTATGAAATTTATAATTAGTTCTAAATATAAAAGAAAAAGATTGGAAGAAATAAATAAAAGTCCGTCATACGATTGACGTAGTTTTTTACTAGTTTTTTGCTTAGTCTCCGTCGCGGACTACTGAGTTAACTACTCATAGAGTTTATCGATGTTATTGGAGTTTCCTCGGATGTTCTAGCGACTTGGTCACTATGTGGGGGAAAGGGGAAGACCGTGAGGCGATGTGACAAGGAAGGGACGATATGGCGCGGAAAGGGAGGAGAGAATAAAGTGGTTGAGGATCGGACGATGGTGGGGCAAGCGGTGGTACTCGGCCGTTGCATTGTGGGGGTGTTGGCCTTCAACTTGACGGCGCAGTTTCACTGACCTGCCTGAGAAACTCGTGATATCCGCGCGGCTCGTGCCCCACGAGCGGACGTACCGACGCACGAATGTCCAGAGATGCCAAAGGGTACCGCTACTTAAGGGCCCACGAATCCTAAATAAACTTACCACGATGTAGCGACCGATTTTTTTCTACCTGAACATTGTTTCATATTCATTCCCTATAATCAACGGTATGGTAATTGAAGCTTTTCTATGTAATGGAATGCTCGTTTTCCGGTTTAGAATGGATTATCGATATATTGAACAATTCTGACATATTACAGGATCTTGTCAATTCATTAATGGAATGCTTCAGATCTATTCCCTCTTTTTTTTTTTAATTAAAACGGTAAAATTTTTTCGTAGTAGTACAATAGAGCTTTTAAATATCTAAGTTTAATTAACTATACAAGATTATTAATAAATATAGATTTTGAAATATTTGTGAATGAATATTATAAATAATATTAGCCTAGACTTGTTCATTGGTTATGTTTGCACGTTATATAGGATATTTAAAAAAGAAGCTTCCAGCATTTTGGTCCACCAACTTTCGCAGCTGTTTAAACGAACGATTCCAATTCCTCGTCGTTCTTTTCGGGTCGACTTATGTCGATATCGCCCACGGTCGTCGGCGAGTCGCCGAGGAAACGACGAGTGCCTCTCGGGCGAGGCATTTGGTGGCTGTAATTAAAGCAAAAGACGAGCAGATGGCTCCCCGAGTTCCTGTCCCTCTTGTACGATTCTTTTTCCCTTCTCCTCCGCCCGTTCAAAAATGCAACCTCGCGTGTTTCCAAGAAGTACGATAATTCTGTAGGATTTTCCGCCAAGAGAATAAATATTCTCTCTTCTGAAAGTCAAAACGTTTGAAGTCATCATCAACGTACATCTCAATCTGACGGAAGTTGAAACAAAACGGAGAATGTTGAGAATAGTTTCACAAACGACGAAGAATTTTTGATACTGATCAATCCACATGCGTAATCCCTGCATAATGGCAATCGTATCGAGGTAACGAGCTTGGCAACTTCATCATGTAATAGATATTGCAAATCTGTCGATAACGTTGTACGTGAACCATACACTATGACCACTAGTTTCTGAAGCAGCGTGTATAATGCAGCTGCCGGTTATAGAGGCGAGTAACTATTGATCCTGCAGCCTCTAGAGGGAAAGAGACGTGCCGCCGCCACCGCTGCCGCTGCCGCTGCTGCTACGGCTGCTGCAGATTTCAGCAACATCATTCGAGAGAAGGAGAGAAAGAGAGTGACGTATCGTGGGAATAGAAGGTCCAAACTCCTTTCCGGAGAGGGCTTTGCTCGTCATTGTACTCGAACGGAGAGCAGGCCACGTGCTTCACGTGCATCGGCTACGTGAATGGCACCTTGAATGAATAAGAAAGAAATCAACGGAATAACGAACCCGGTTTTGCGATCCACCGTAATGTTATCGCGGGCGTGCACGCGAAGCAACGCGGTCGATCACAGTTTTTGCTTGCTTATCTCATTTTTAACGCGCTTTTCAGAACTATCTTCTCTCGAATCCGACTTCGTTGTTTCCCTAAGATGGAAATTGCGTGACGGAAGATTAAATCGAAACGCTGTTTCCGATCGTGACGAGTTATCCGGACGATTCGTATCACAATTCATCCCGACCCAAAGTCGAACGTTCTGCCGAACCTATTACTTCCTTTTCGTCCTCTGCGATTTCGCGATGCGTGCAAAAAGAAGGAAAAGAAGAGAAAGGAGGCGAACAAAAAGACGGAGAAGAAGAATTCGACGACGAGGAAGAAAGGATCGGGTCGATCCTCTCTTTCGTTCCTTCTTGTCCCTTCGATAGAGGCAGACAAAGGCAAAAGGCGCCTTGCGTTCTCCTCGATGCACTCTCTTTCACTCTTCTTTCTCTTTCATTCACTTTTCTCTCCGTCTCACCTCACCTTGGCCGCGGCCCTTCAACTGTCTGCGACCCACGCCCCACCTTCTCTTCCTCCATCCAGAACCACTACACAACCATTGGTACCAGCATCGAGTTAGCAGCCACCTTCTTCGACCACGAGGGGCAACCTTCTACTTCTTCGTCTTCTTCTTCTTCTTCTTCTCCTCCTCTTCCTCCTTCGTCGTCGTCTTCGACTTGGTCCTCATCCTCGTCCAGATCGTCGTCGACGACGTTGTTTCCTTCTCTTTCAACAACGTGTCTTTCTTCGATTCTTCCTCCTTTTCCCTTCCTCCTTTCCTTCTCTCATTCCCTCCCGGCTGTTCTCCAACTACACGCGAGTACCACTTTTATCGGTGTGCGTGTACCTATCCTCGGTCCACCTGCCTTCTCGAAGTTATTTAGCCAATGGAACCGCCCAGGCTTCGCCCTAGGCGAATTTCCGGAACAAGAGAGA